GTCATAAATATGAGCAAATTGTCAAGCATCCGAATATAAATCACGTGCTACAATGGTCGTAAGAGTAAGAAACGGCCATAAGTCCCTTTTTTCAGTGCCGTTGTAACTTTGAACGGTCACTAAATGAATTGTTACAAATCAAGGACTACTTGTATACAGAGTGTCTTTATCTGCATTGATGTGTCAACTCCATAAGAGAAGAATATAAAGCTATAAAAAGTTGGGTCATCTTTGATCGAACACAACTGATAAATATTGTACATTAGCTTTTGTGGCCAGGAGGCTGACAAGTATTACATAGAATAGAGTAGAATTCTTTATTGACCATGTGTGGTTGGACACACAAGGAATTTGTCTTTGGTGCATATGCTTTCAAGTGTACATAAAAAGAAAAGATACATTTGTCAAGAATCATAAGGTACAACACTTATAGTCATAGGGTACAATAAGCAATCAAATCATACTAGGAAATAGTTACAAGTGGGAGGGGATGGTTGATAAGGAGTGATGAGAAGATTAATAGTAATAGTAGTGCAGACTTTGTAAATAGTTGGACAGTGTTGAGGGAATTAGTTGTTTAGCAGAGTGATGGCGTTCGGGGAAAAACTGTTCTTGTGTCTAGTTGTTCTGGTGTGCAGTGCTCTATAGCGTCGTTTTGAGGGTAGGAGTTGAAACAGTTTATGTCCGGGATGTGAGGGGTCTGTAAATATTTTCACAGCCCGCTTTTTGACTTGTGCAGTATACAGGTCCTCGATTGAAGGCAGGTGGGTAGTAATTGCTTTTTCTGCAGTCCTAATTACCTCTGAAGTCTGTGTCTGTCTTTTTGGGTTGCAGAACCAAACCAGACAGTTATAGAGGTGCAGATGACAGACTCAGTAATTCCTCTGTAGATCTGTATCAGCATCTCCTTGGGCAGTTTGAGCTTTCTGAGTAGTTCCTACTGATGTGTAAACAATCTTCAAGCCAAACCTGCTGGTACATAGCTTCAATAGTTTTCTTGCTTTCTAACTTGCTGGAAAGATTTCCAAGAAACCGGAAAGGACATTGCTGGATTCTAAAGTTACCACTGTAAATTCAAATTAGTATTATCTTCATTTCCAAAAATACAGCACTGTAACCAGCCAATGCAATCCTAGGCTGCATTAACAGAGGGACACAATCAAGATCCCGTGAAGTTCTAGTACTGCTTTACAAAGCCTTAGTAAGACCACACTGGAAATATTGCGTCCAGTTCTGATCACTACAATATAAAAAAAGATGATGAGACTCTGGAAAAGAGCAGAGAAGAGCAACAAGGATGATTAGGGGACTAGAAGCTAAAACATACGAAGAACGGTTACAGCAATTTAGTTTAGTGAAAAGAAAGAGAAAGGGAGACATGATAGTGGTGTTCTGATATTTGAGGGGCTCCTACAAAAACAAGGAGGGGTCCAAACTATTCTCCAAAGCAGCAAGACAAGAACCAATGGATGGAAACTAACCAAGGAGGGAAGCAACCTAGAAAGAGATTTCCTAACCGTGAGAACAATCAACCAATGGAACAACTTGCCTTCAGAAGTTGTGGATGATTCCATCACCAAAAGAGACTGGAAAACTATTTAGTTGAAATGAAATAGGGTCTCCTTATCGAGCAAGGGGCTGGACTAGAAGACCTTCAAGGTCCCTTCCAATTCCAAAGCTCCAGAATCTGGCAGATACAATATTTCCTTTTTCAACTTCCCAGAGACATTTGTAAGTGCTTTGCTACAAAACCATCAAAGCAATTTTTTTATAACACAGAGTTGGAGAAGGAGAGCTGCTGGTGCTAGCTGCTACAAAGCTGATCATTGCAGGAAAATTATTTCTAACACAATTACAAAATGCTTGGAAGGATTTGAAACTGTACTTAGCAAGAAGAATTGGATATATATGTCAAAACAGATAATAAAATACTCAGTATCTACCCCAAGCATGCCCTAAACAGCATTTAGAACGGGAGATGTTTATACACTGTTGGCTGCCACTGCTGAACAAATCAAACATGTAAAAAGGACTGAGATTTCTTGTCATAAATAGTGAATTGCCAAAAACGTAGAATGTGGCATTTCCAGAGGGATGACTTTAAATGCTGCTCACCAAACCAAAAGGAAAAAAGATCACAGAGCAATTCTGCCTTTTTTTGTCCCTTTCACACATTTTCTCTCATAACGAAAGTTGACAGGCAAAGCAGTAAGGAAATGTATGAATAAAACCAGAGACTTGCATGATTAATCGGGAAGCGTTTATAAAATAACAGACAGTAAGCTGATTAATAAGTGTATTTTCCACATGAGCCATCTATTTATTTATTTGAATCTTGCCTTTATTGTTTTCACAAATAAGGCAGCCAACATATGCAACACACCTTCCTCCTCTTATTTTCCTCACAACAACAATTCTGAGAGGTGTCTATGGAGATTCTCAATCATCCAGGTCATGGCTGTCCCAAAGGTGGTTTTTCAAGAGGCAACCAGACTTTCTTTGTTTTTGCTTGAAGACGTTTTGCTTCCTATCCAAGAAGCTTTCTTCAGTTCTGATTAAAGCTTCTTGGAGAAGCTTCTTGGATGAGAAATGAAATGTCTTCAAGGTTAAAAAAAAGGCCAGTTGCCTCTTAAAAGGCACCTTTGGGACAACCCTGTGAAGTAGATTGAGTGGTACCAAGCTTAATTTTATTGTGTTTCCCTCAGAACAGGGCTAAAGGGAGAAGGGACTGAAGGTAAATTATGTCTCCCAGACAACCATAAATGGTGTGATGAAAAGTCACTATAGGGCTTTGGACCTATTTTTATTATTTTATTTTATTTTTTTCCTCAATCATGTGTCACTCTTACCATACTCGATAATCAGACTTTCAGCCCTTTATTCATGCAAAACCTTCAATAATTCAAGTTTATCCATTTTATCATATACTAACTACACTGCAATGTAGAAGCATGTTATTCATCCTCTATGTTTATATCCATTTTTCATTCATTCACTGGGAGGTAAATCCTTCTAATGTATTTCATACAAGACCTTTCCTTTACTGAAGTTGTTCTATTTTAATTTCTTTCACATTTTTTTTCTTTTCTCCCCTCTCTTTTTTTCCCCAAGATCCACTTTTGATGTTACCAAAAACTGCCCTGTCCTATATTCAGAACCTTTTATTGACCTGCTTTCTATCATTAATTCTTTCTTTATTGTTTTGCCAGGAACAATTAAATTGTGTTCTTCTCCTGAGTTATTGAAAAAGCTATAAAGGATCTTTTATAGCTTTTACCCTGACTTTGGGATTTGATGTGTTATCAAGTTTCCTCCTGCAGGAGAATGCGAGTCCTTCAAAATAGCCCAGATAAGAAGTACAACTATGAATATAGCTCTATTGTTATTGTAAATTTACACTATTAGAATCTTGTAAGATTGAAAGTATTTATCCTCCTCTTCTTTTATTCTCCAGAAAACCAGGGACGGTTCTTTCTGAAATGCCTCTCGTATCTCCTTTCTTTCTGTGGACTTAGAAATCTTTTTTTATTGCTGGTTGACCAGTTTGGTTCTTCCTCTTGCCTCCTAATCTTTTATCTGTTACCCATATACCATTAGAGTATGTGAATTGTTGCTAAAGGTGTTTGGAATATTTTGGAACTTATTTTTATCAATCACTCTAGCATGTATAGATGCTGCTCAGAGTCTGCTATGACCAAAGTGGAATTTGTTAATAATTCATTGAAACTAATAAATAATTAATAAATAATCAGACAAGATCATCACAAGCTCACACCATCTCCATTCAGACCTCTTATAATCTCCCCTAAATGCTTTTTTGTAAGATAGGGAAGATATAGACTAGGTCACATCCTTATTCATGGTCATGCCAAATGTTACATTTCCTTCTAACAGTGTTACTCAACAACAATGTTGGTAGTAGAGTTTGGGCACATTTTTCATGTACTATAAGCAAAAGTAAAGTCATGTTTTATCTCCAGCAACCTTCACATTGTCTTCTGCTACTTTTTTCTCTTCCTTTCCCTTGTTCCTTTTTTCCTTTCTCTTTCTCTTACCTCTCTTTCTTTCTTTCTTTCTTTCTTTCTTTCTTTCTTTCTTTCTTTCTTTCTTTCTTTCTTTCTTTCTTTCTTTCTTTCTTTCTTTCTGCCTTCAGGTCAGTATTGACTCCTGGAATCCATTTGTACTACAGTTTTTTTAAACAAGATTTCAAAAGTGGTTTGCCACTGCCTTCTTTCTAGGACTGAGAGGGAGTAATTGGCCCAAAATCACCTAGCTGGCTTTGTGCCTAAGGTACAACCAGAACTCACAGTCTCCTGGTTCCTATCCTGGTGTCTTAATCACTACGTACATCAAACTGGCTCTCCTATGCTACCCAGAACATATAATATAGATGCTATTTTGCAAGCCGCAATACTGTTCCCTACATCCTACCAACTAGGACAAATATGCATACCTCAAGTCTGATTTAGGGTAAGATCTCTGTGTGCTGTTCAATACATTAGGTAATAGTTGCTCTCCAAAGATTTCGATCAGACCCAATTGAATTGCATCTGTTGTTTCAGTAGCAGTGAATGTTTTTATGGATATGATGGCTAGCCTGATGTCCATCCTTTCTTCCTTTTATTTGGGATTAGGATCAGCAAGGAAAGATATACAGTAGTATTAAACCTTTTTTTAGTACTTGTACCCTTTGTAAAGAAGCAGTCACAGGTGTTCCTCATAAATACACATAGATTGGCCCTGAAAAATGTAAGAAATGCTACTCCAAGAGAACCACTGAGCGTAAAGAGAGATGAGGAGGCCTATCATTTATGGAAGAAGTATTACTGTATTATTTTATTTGTGAACTTTATACACTGCTGACTGTGCAACAGATCAGGAACTGCTTGTGTGCGAGCCAAAATGGAAGGGGAAAACTTATTGATTTCCACAATATGATTCTGAGCGAATATCCGCCATTTTCAAAGAGAATAGCAGGCGTTGCTTTGAAGTCCTGAACATTATTGAGATGTAACCTTGGGAACAGGAGAATGAAATCAAAGTTCTTAAGGATGAGCACAAAGTGAGACTGTCAAAGTCCAAGAAACAGAAGAAAACAAAAACTGATGTCAGAACAAATGGTGGTAATTGCCAAGAAGAGAAACCAAAGCAAAGAAGTTGGGGGATGACTCTGGAAGGAAATTAACGAAGGGTTTCAGAGAGTTGCTAGAGACAAGGGCTATGTTAGGATAATGAAAATAGAAAAAGACATGGAAAATAAAGTTTTCCAAAAGATCTTGTAATTCAGAAGGAAGTTATAACCTAAATTGGCATGCTAAAGGATGTAAACAGATAGTAACTGATTCCAAGAAAGTCAAATATACTGAAACATACTGAAATTATGCACAATACAAATATCAGATCCCAATATATATTAGATAGTATTTCCTATTTATAAGAACATCTAGTATGAAAAGAAGAAGTTACAGCAACACTCCAATAATTACATATTCAGAAGGCTATAGAAACTGATGGAATACGAACAGAAATACAGCAAACAGCAGAAAAGTGTTTAGTGTAAGATCAAGATTCTATTATTCTATCCTGTGAGGGTTTTTGTGCTATCTGAGCTTGGTTGTTTTCTTGAAAATGTTTCATTACCCAATTACCAGTAAGTAATATGCTATCACTACATGTTACCTTTCTGAGCTTGGTTGTATTCTTGCAGATCATTTCATTGGAGATTCTCACTCATCCAGGCCATGGTTGTCTCAAAGGGGCTTTTTCAAGAAGCAGCTGGACTTTCTTTGTTTTTCTTTGAAGATGTTTCGCTTCTCATTGAAGAGCTGAGGAAGCTTCTTGGATGAGAAGCGAAACGTCTTCCAAGAAAAACCAGAAAAATCAGTTGCCTCTTGAAAAAAGCACCTTTAGGATTTCATTCATTTGGGAATGAAACATCTGTAAGAAAACAACCAAGCTCAGAGAGCCACCCAAGACCTCGCAATTTATCTTTGAATATATTCTCTTCTATTAATAAATAACATTATTGAAAACCCCCCTTGCTTCTGTTTCTTGATCTGGCCTACCCTGAAAGACTAATAGATACCCAGAACAGACCATGGTATTCAAAGTGGGATCTAACCAATTCCTAATAGAGATGAATCATCACTGCCAATGCCTCTATGACCAAGTTCCTCTATAGCTACAAAACCAAGGAATACTCTGCAATTCAGACCACATATTGATGAAGCTTCCATTACAAAGATAGAGACCAGGAGAGGTCTTGGAAGCGGAATGTCCTCAATAGATATTCATGAACTGCACAACTTTATAATGCCATTCATCAAATTACATTTTCAAACAAATATAAATGTTCAAATAACAATTTTTGAAGCAGCCTTCTGAAGTCCTCGATAGAGTAGCACTTACCTCTCTCATATGCCGCTTGATATGTAAGTATACACATTGTCCTGTCTTGCGATAATGCCTTTCTACGTGTTCCCTTCCAAATCCCAGGAAAGTATTCATGCAAACATAAAGGCCTCCTTCGGATTCCTGTAGAGAAGAACAGAAAATTATTTAGGGCATATTTGGGGCACCTGACAGAATTCTTCAGCACAGTGAGGGATATAAATTCCCTTTTAAAGAATCAAAGAATTGGGAGATACCTCAAATGTCTTCTAATCCAACTTCCAGCTATGTGCATAATCTGATAGATCACTTTGGACAGATGGCTATCCAGCCCCTGTTTTAAAACTTTATAAAGTAGAAAATACTATTTCATAAGATAATCTAACCTACTGGTTGACAGCTTTGCCATTAGCAAGTTCCTCCTAATATCTCACTTTTCTATAGTTTTAACACTGGTTCTAGTTCTGTCTTCTGGGGCAACAAAGATCTCTGTTCCTTCTTGTATATGACAATCCATTGACTGGTATAATACCTCCCTTTGGTCTTCTCTTCTTTCCCACCTTTAACCATACCTCTTCTTTGTGGTAGCCTCTCAAATATTGGAAGACTGCTATCATGTCCTCCATAGTCCTTTTTTTCACTGGACTGGCCAAACCCAAATCCTCCAACCGTTCTTCATATGTTTTAGTCTCCAAGCCTTTAATCATCTTAGTTGCTTTTCTTTGCATTTTTTTCCCCAAATCTCAACATCTTTTTTCTAGTATGGTGACCAAAACTGGATGCAAGTATTCCAGGTGTGGTCTTAGATACACACATACATATATACACCTTTCCACCTACACAGACACACAGTCGGTATAGGCAAGATACTGTCTTGGACCAGAGGGTATAGATCATATTTTCGGAACACGTTGCAATCATTCAAAGGAAATAGAAGCTACGCACAGCGTTCCTGCTCACAAAAGGCAATCACAGTGGAAACAGCCAATAACAAAAACCCAGTAAAAGGCATTTCCTTGGAAATTTTCCTTTCAAATTTTCCTTGCAACATATTTTCCTTGTGACAACCCCACTCCTACTTTATGAACCTCGAGCATATTTGCTAAAGAATAAGCTCAAACCAGAAATAGTATTTGCACTCTCATTCTCAATATTCGAATTTCTGAAGACTCTCTTTCTATTTGGGAACAAAGGAATAGTTGACTAATAGAATAATGATGCTGTTAGACCAGGGGTGTCAAACTTGCATCATCATGGCAGCGTCACGTGACATATCGGGACTTTTTTCCCCTTCGCTAAACCGGGCAGGGGCGGGGCCAGCATGTCACGCATCTGGCCCGTGGGCCGCAAGTTTGACATCCCTGTGCTAGACAATCTGATTGAACATTATAAGTGATACATTTTATATGTTTATTGCACAGGATAACTCTGTATTATTTCCTTCTGAGCTACCTGGAGAATATGGGATACAATAAATTTCAAATAATAATAGCTCTGAAATGGCATAAAAGCACTTGTGATAATTAAATAAATGCAAGTGACACATAAATAATTCTGGAATAATTGTCTTTTTCCTCTTCCTAAGCAATCTGCTCCTAATAGCCATTAGCATTTTCCAGCAGATAATGTGGCTAAGAAAATCTGAGGGAAAGCTTAAAGAACATAAAAACATTGCAAGCCTTTTGGATTTAGACTGTCCTTGAATAATTTTGAACATCAAAGGCATGGAGGTTTTTTTTGTATGTAGATTTCTGTTCTTTGTTTGGTGCTATATTTTCTTTAAAATTATTGTTTGACTTGAGTATTTGTAAGACGTGAGACAACCACAGACTTCAGAACAATTTATAAAGGAAACCCAAAGATGCTTTTTTCAAGAGGCAACTGGACTTTCTGGTTTTTGATTCAAAGATGTTTTGCTTCTCATCCAAGAAGCTTGTTCAGCTCTTCCTTTATAAAGGAAAACAGCAAAGTCTGAACAACAGTACTGTCAAGCCACTCAAAAGCTGAAAACATGGCAAGAGAATCCCAAAGCTCTGTGAGGAGGTGCGTGTGTCATAAATACATTTTTTTTAAAAAAAACGAGCTATTCACAGTGATGTCTCTATCAAGGTTCCCATACTGGGGAACAGCACGTTAGAAAGCCTATATCCAAGGAGCTACAGGTAATCTTTGATTTACAACCACAATAGAGCCCAACATTTTTGTAGCCCCATGTAGAGTGCTTTACAGTCATCTAACATGCAAGGATATTGAAGCATTTAGATCACTGCAGGCATTTTCTCAGATCCAAGAATGGCTACAGCTGTCCCATTTTAGACAGCTGTCAAAAATACAGCTATTCCAAGCCAAAAATAGGCACTCTTTGCCATTACGGTCACCTGGGCCTCCTCCCCATGCTGTCCATCTGCTCTTTTAGGACAACTAAAGTTTAATCTAGAAGAAGATGATCCTTTTCTCCGCTTGTTTATAGTATTCCACATTGATGGGTGTTCAGTGTTACAGTAGGAACACAGTTAAAGAAGGGTGCAGTTAGGGACACGACAGGTACTCCTTGACCTACGGCCGCAATTGAGCCCAAAACTGAAGCCTAGGATTGAGTTTGGACAGCAACTGAGCTCCTCCTACAATTGAGGGTGTATAGGAAAGTTTCCATCCCAAAGTCAAAACCTATAGAGTAGTACTGGCTAAAATATACTGTAGTCTGTGGGTTGTTCTGTTCTCAAACCAAGGCAGCGTGATTAGTTGATGGTTCAGTGCAGCGCACAAAGTTAGATTGATTCAGTATGGCATGGCTAGTCTAGTGAAGAGAAGGACCAGGGGAGACAGGATAGCAGTCTTCCAATATTTGAGGGGCTGCCACAGAGCTATTTTCTAAAGCACCCGAAGGCCAGACAAGGAATAAATAGATGGAAACTAATCAAGGAGAGATTCAACCTGGAAATAAGGAGAAACTTTCTAACAATGAGAACAATCAACCAATGGAACAGAAGTTGCCTTCGGAAGTTGTGGGAGCTTCATCACTTGAGACTTTCAAGAAGAGATTGGACTGCCATTTGTCAGAAATGGTGTAGGGTCTCCCGCTTGGGTGGGGGGTTGGACTAGATAACCTACAAGGTCCCTTTCAACTCTGATTATCTGTTAAATCTGTTAAAGTAAACTGTTACTGTATTCAGCTAACCATGGGTTAGTAGGTGGTGTAATTTGAGCTTGCCACTGACATTTGTTTGCAGAAAAGATAAGCACACTTCAATTGCAACAAATGAAGCAAACCTCAACAAAGCATTATTTTTGATTCAGGTTAATTAAATGGTTAAAAATACAATGCACCTCTCCATACAGAGACTCCCAGTTTAGGAGTCGTTGCAAAACAAGTACATCCTAATGCCCGTTTTCTGCTTAGGTAACAATATAGCCCTCAATCATCACAGATTTTAAGTATCTTGGAATGAAGCAGAAGAAAGCGAAGTTTTAGCTACGTAAGCTTTCGGTACAGGAGGATGTCCTTCAGCCAGTCGACCTTAAGCATTTAAATCTATAACATTGTTTGGTAATATTTTTGGCCTTCCTAATCAGCCCAACTGCCTATTCAGAGAGACCTGCTGGGTGACACTTGAGATTTGAAGTGTGGGGGTTATAAATATAACCTACCAGTATCTTCCAGCCAGATGATAAACGCCAGGCAGCTGAGTTGCCTTTGAATGCGTACAGAACTTTTCATGGACAAACAATCTTAAAAAGAGACGATCCAACCACTAAAAGCAGAGACTCCTTGAAATATATATTCTTAATAAGAGGAGTAAAGCAAAGTGTTGAAAGGAAGAAAAGTATTCCCCAACATTTCCCCCATTTCTGCCTTCATATTTGTCAGATTCCTCTGGATTTTAAAAAAAAAAACCCACATATTTTATGGTCAACTTATGATCATCATTGAGCCCCAAATTTCTGCCACTAAATGAGGCATTTTTAAGTAAGCTTTGCCCCATTTTACAATCTTTCTTGCCACACTTGTTAAGTGAACCACTGAAGTTGTTCAATTAGTAACATGGTTTTTAAAGTAAATCTGGCTTCCCCGTTGACTTTGATTGTCAGAAAGTCACAGAAAGGGTGTCAGCTTTGGAAGCCATATTGAGACCAGATGCTCCCACACTGCCACATTTTCAGCCTGGGAAAATGGAAGGATGGGGAATTTCTTGGAGTGTGTGTAGTTAGACCTAATAACATTCTTTTTCTAAGTCAACGGGGGCGATTGGGGCGTGTGATGTGATGATGGGTGCAGGATTGGTAGTTTTTACTTATTGCAAGGAAGCCCGGAATTTTCAGGTTTGGGATTCCACAGTTGTGCCACTTTACTATCCAAATAGAAGGAACTTTTGAGAAGATGCCTGTCTCAGAGTTATTGGTTGGAGTGGAGGTTTTCTGGAGCAATGGCAAAAGGATCATATGATCTGCAACCGTCATAAATATGAGCCAGTTGCCATACATCCAAATTTTGCTCACATAAACTTGGGGATGCTGCAAATGTGTCTTAAATGTGAAAAATGGTCGTAGGTTACTTTTTTCAGTGCTGTTGTAACTTTGAACGGTCACTAAATGAACGGCTGTAAGTTGAGGACTACCTGTATATATTTAGTGACTTACTCATCTAAAATGTTGCCTTTTTGCCAGTGCTTCCAAACGGGTTTATAATTTAAAAACAGCTTACAAATATTTGCAATAATTTTCTTTCAAAGAGGGCACGGAGAAAAGGAACTCTGAAAGTAGAAGAAAATTTAACACTTCAAACATGAATTTTCTTTCTTTAAATATAAAGGAAGACGAGAACGTTAACTTAGCCAGGACAGAAAAGTTTATGTCTTAATAAATGTATTGATTTTAGGTGCCATAAGATTTTTATGTTGTCTTGGCTCCTAAAGGCAATGTCATGCCCCTGGTGGAGACTGACTCTGAGGGAGAGGAGGAACAGCAGACAGGAAGTGGAAGGGTGGCTCCGGAGGTTTTGGAGGAGGCTGGGGAAGGGCAGAGGCGGCTGGGTAGTCAGAGGAGGACCCAGGCCCATACCCTCTCCATCCTAGGCATGCAGGGAGGAGAGGATAAGGGAGAGATGTGAATGGCATGGTCTACGGGGGAGGAAAGGGCCTTGATCC